CTACCCTTATACCTAGCCCGGAAACTACAATTAGTACAAAATACGGCAGACAGGCTGATCACTGGAAAATCAAAGAGTGATCATATTACACCCATTTTGAAATCTCTCCACTGGCTGCCTATTGGTTTCTGAGCACAGTATAAGGTGTTGGTGATGACCTTTAAAGCCCTACATGGCCTGGATCCAGCCTACCTAAGGGATCGCCTTCTTCCATATAATTCTCCCCGCACACTCCGGTCCTCTGGGAGGAAGTTGCTGCAACTGATAAAAACTAGACTAGCGGCAACCTCCCAGAAGACGTTTTCTGCCATCGCTCCCAGACTGCCAGAAGAGATCTGTCAGATAACCAGCTTAGATGGCTTCAAAAAAGCCATCAAGACAGATCTCTTCTGGCAGGCCTACCTGGAATAGATCACCTCATCTAACCTGGCCTCCCTCCCATTAGACATCCTTTCACATCTTTACTTGTGTCCCAGAATGCCTACTGTTTTTAATTCTACGTTTTAAACTTACATTTGTATTTAATATACTTTTAATGGGGAGGGGGTCATTGTTATCTGTAATATTGTTTTATTGTCCATTGTAGGGTAGTTTTAATTTTTGTGTAAGCCACCTTGATTGCCACGGCAAAAGGCGGGGTATAAAAATAAATTATTATTATTATTATTATTATTATTATTATTATTATTATTGTACTATACAGAAAACATCATAAGAAGAGCAGGCTTAGGCTTAAAAGAAGGAGGAGTGAAGATAGGCGGAAGGAACATCAACAGTCTTAAGATATGCGGACAACACCATAATACTAGCAGAAAACATCACAGACTTTGAACAATACTAAGGAAAGTCAAAAAAGAAAGTGCAAAGGCAGACTTAATGCTGCATACAAAGAAAACAAAAATAATGCTCACGGAGCTATGAGTTCAATTTCCAATGGCTAATAGCTATATTCAACAAATCTCAGGATTCTGTAGGACAGTGCTACAGCACTTAATACGATGTCAAACTACATTTCTACAGTGTAGATGCACTCCAAATTATCACAACACATTGCTCTTAAAATATACTGTTTCCTTTGTCTCTCACCACCTCGTGCTTCTTGCACCATGTGTTGCTTCACTGTGACATCAGAGTGAGACACCCAATGATGACCACATGGCTGGTCACCTTATCTGACCTCAGAGCAAACGACTTGAGGTGGCAGCAGATGAGCCAGGTAACACATGAGATGCATTTCAAACAGCCACCCAGTGTCAGAACAGAGGGATCCAGATCTTCCAGGAAGATCCAGAGCAAATAGAAGGCATTTTATTGCATGTTAAGAGGGCTATACTCTGGTTCTGGTGCTGAGCAGGCCAGGTGTCATCTGGTCAGTTCACACCAGAACCATGGTTTGGGCTGTGCATCATGAGATCTCTCTGCCAAGAAGATGGGGGGGGGGAAGGCCATTTTATTAAGCCCATGCAACCAGAGGCCTGGCCAGCATGGCCAGTGATCAGGAGTTATGGGAGCTAAAGTCCAAAACACCTGGACAACCAATGTTTGAGAACCACCAGACTCGAGTGCTCTGGAAGAGAATCCTAAATATCTTTCTCAAACTACTAATAAATTCTAGCATTCCACAGGAAGGCGCAATAGCAGATAAAGAGTTATACTATACTTTTGACTGTATAACCCATCCATATTCCAACAATACTATTATAACTAGATAGTGTAGATATATTTGAAGGTACTGTCTCCTTCCCCACCTCCATTTTAGGCATCATTCTGAGTCTTTCATCCAATGTTGGATTTCAGCAAATTGGAAGTGATCAGCACTTTGTATTGTTTGTATTAGATTGCCAATGGTCAAGATATCAGCCCAAGGTAAGACAAGAGTCTGCCTTTAGCCACCAATCACAGGTGGTGACAACACAGCCTTCCACTTCATTGCCGCTGTCATCACACTCAACTTGATATTCCAAAGGGACTGAGTGCTGAAATGGGACTTCAAGGCAATAAGAGTCCTCTGGATTGCAAATGTGGAAGTTTCTTTTTGAAATTCCTCAAAGCAGCATTCACAAGCTCTATTCAAAAAAACACTTGCAACTGTTATATTTCACCACATGCTTTAAGGGTTTGGAAACAAATTTAGCTTGCATATTTTGGCCATGAATATGCAGTGAGAAAAGTATTGGTTGACATCCTGTTCAGCAGTTAAACTATCGTAAGCTGGACTTATGCTATCATAATTGCTAGAGATTCATGTTTATGATCATGAATGACTGAATATACCCCCCAACTTGCCTTTGCACCCTAGCAGCACCCTGACTGAAGTGCTTCTGAGGTGCTGGAAAATGGAGCACTGGGAAATGATGTCTGCAGTGTGCTCCTGGTCATGTGGAGCTGTGGGACAAGGAGCTTGAATATGATCTCCCTGTCTCCCTGTTCTCAAGGTATCCCATGAGGAGCATGTTATGGATGCCATTTCCCAGGGCTCCAATCTCCAGCACCTCAGAAATGGTTCAGACAGAGTACTGCCAGGGTGCCAAGTTTAGTTGTGGGGAACATTGTTAGCCATAACTACAGTGGGACCTTGGGTTCCAGGACTCCCCCCATGCATGGAAACCAAAATCTGTGGATGCTCAAGCCCCATTAAATACAGTGGCATGCTAAAATGGCATTTCTTATATAAAATGGCAAAATCAAGGTTTGTGTTTTAGAATTTATATTTTTTGAATATTTTCAAACTGTGGATGGTTGAATCAATCCTTGGATCAAGAATCCATGGATATGGTGGGCCAACTGTACCATGATGGATGAATGTCACTGTTACTTTGTCATGAATGAGATGTGGAGAAGCCTTTGAGAAATTGCTCAATAGCATGTGGAACATAGTATCATAGGTGAGTGAATCTTAGTATTGAGGATCTTTACCAGGCAGCAGATGATTGGGTTGAGTAGGCAGCAATGACAGTTCCAGGCCATTTCACCCAAGGCTTTGCCCCAGCTGTTATTCTCTGTTGGAGGAATGTTTTGCTTTGCTTTTAGTTCTGCATTTGCCACCATGTTGCTAAATTTCATTGGAGTGGTAGCAAATTTAAAGTAAAAGCTGCTCTTGTTTTTGCTGCTGTTGCTACCAAAGCAGCAAATTTCCTTGCAGAAGGACCCTGGGAGAGGCACTGCAATAATGGATACACAGAACCTCTCAAATAAGACACCAAAATAAAATTTTAAACAGAAGCTGGATGGCCATCTGTTGAGAGTGCCGTGACTGTGCCTTATTGCAAGGCTGGGCTTGAACTGGATGGCTCTTATAGCCTCTTCATACTTTGATTCTATGATCCTATAATAGAAAAATCCTATGCAAGTCTATTCAGAAGCAACCTTTGAATTCAGTGGGGCTTTCTTGCAAGCAAGTATACAGTATACAGAATGTGGTCACTGGGTGGGGCCCATTGACCCCATGCAGTGCCTTTTTAATTTAGACTAGCTTTTGTTCAAGTTAGCATTTAATCAAAAATTGTAGTTCTATGATAGGAGTGAGAATTGAATAGCAACTCTAATCAGGCTAACACAGGCTGGCCAACAAAATGTGGAGGGTGACACAATTTATGATGTTTTACTGCTGATAATTTATTATTTTTAAATAATGCATTATTTCATCATTGTTCTTTTTGTTCTATTTTTTGTTCTTTTCATTGAATTCCACCTTAGTTATTAATTTAATAGAAGGGTGGGATATAAGTAATACACTAGAATGCAACTTCATTTTTTTAATCATATCCTTTTCCACAGATCTAGTAGCACCCAAAGGACAGGACAGAACAGAGTCTGGGAAGCAACGAAAACACAATGGCCCAAATCCAGGCAGGAAGTCATGAGGCTCTCCAGATGTTGAAATGCATCTCCCAGCATATTTCACTTGTGGCTATGCTGGCAAGGGATACTCCAGCCCAACAACTGGAAGGTGACCTGATTCCAATCCTGGCCTAATTCCAATTACTTTTTCTAAATAGAGGAGACCCATTGAAGTAATGAGATTTACATAAATGTTAACTTGCATTAAGCAAACAGTTTACTGGGTTGACTGTAGTTGGGATTAGCAGTTTACTGATCAAGCCACCATTTTATATTTCTTCATACAGTAAACACAATGTAGCTTCTATGAGTCATTTTGGGCCACTGTTTCTTCATGGGTTGTCACTCTAGTTCTTCTTGTTTCCTTTGTCTTCTTTCTCTGCTGCGGCACACATAACAAATATATATTTGGCAGTGGCATTTGATTCTTTGAGGGAAACTGGCTTCTTTTGTGGGATTATAAGAAGGATGAAAAAGATTTAATGAAAATGGTATGTGTCCCTTTAAAACAACATGTCATCATCCAGTTTTGATTCAAAGTGGCAGAAACATGCAGGAACGGCTTGGATAGATGAAAAATAGCTAGTAGAAATCCCCTCCACACAAAACGACCAATGTGGATGCTCTTGAAGTTT